ACTGGAGGCTGACTCCAGGTCAGATATGTATTTATTCACCCGCTTTGCTCTGGCCCCGGCAACACATCTTACAACATGATCATGACGATACAGAGCATCTTGCTCTTCCTCGTCGCTGGCCATCTTTTCGTGCTAAACTCTTTGTGCACACCGAAGGCCTTCGACACCAACGGTACCTCCCTCATCACGGCGCCGGCGGATGCGGCCCTCGGGCCGTGCCCGTTCGCGTTCCCCGCGCCGCTCACCTTTGAGGAAGCCATCGTTGACCTCTGCCCCGTCGACGGCAACAACGACCACCATCCCGTCGACATCTCACCGGGCGCTAAACCAGCTGCGCCTCCGAAAGCTGGTGTGGTCACCAACACTTTGTCGACGACGCCTGGGTCTGTCAACGTCTGCTTCATCCCGCCTTCATCCCTCGTCCAACGCTCCTCTCCCGCCAGCCAGCCAGGAGCGTATGACGCCTGGGTCGACGTCGATGAGGACGTCCGTCGCAACGAAGACAAAGGCGAGGTCGACTGGGCCGGGCTTGCGCTCCTGGCTCAGCGCGCATGCTTCGTCGCGCTGGTTTTCTTCCTGACAGTACGTCGCCTGGGACCCCTGTCAGACTGTGTGTGGTCCGTGCTGATCGCCGGTTCCTCCAGCTTCGTTCTCGCCAGCTCGTGGATGGAATCAAGTCAAGCGTGGCGGCGGCGACGGCACTCGAGTCGCTCAACACGGTCTTGGAGGCGTCGATCTCGGGCTTTGAACATCAGTTCAGAATTCAGGCCTCTGCGCTTGGTCGGTTCCCAGCTCTTCTGGTCAGCCTCGGAGACGCAGTGGTATGTCGTCTCATGTTGAGCTGTGGAAATCATTTAACTAACGACTGTTGGAAGGCACGACTGGCCGATGTGGAAGCAACCATCGGGACTCGGATTGACGACGAGTTCGGGCGTGCCATCCGCCACATGCAAGGCATCATCGCACTCCACAATCGAAGGAGCCGTCTGGAGGACGACATGGACTGGATGCAGTCCTCTTTGGAAGGACGGCGGTGTTCGACGGCCAACTCGGACGCTGCGGCTGACGAGGAGGTCGTGTCTCTACTCGAACAACTCACCGAGTCTGAGGTAAAAACCTCACCTCTACATCTTTATCTAGTCATCCGCTCACAGCATATACTAGGATCGACTCGAAGACGCAGAGACCAAGACGCATGAACGACTCACGGCCGCCAAGTCCGTCAAGGTCGGCATCGACGACGCTGGCGCAGAGTGCCATCTGGTTCTGGTCGAGAGGGACGGACTCCGGAAGCACTTGGCCTACATGCATACATCGAACTGTCTCGAGGCTGAGGACTGCGATGCTGACGTCGCCGGCTTGGAAGCACAGCGTACTCTGCTCGAGGTTCGCCGCTCTACATCTCACATGAGGTCATCGGCTGACATTCTATCAGACTTCATGCGAACAGACCATCTACCGCGCCGACATTACAACCTCCAAGGTCGACGCGCTTACTGAGGAGGTCGACCACATCGTGCTTGCATCTCACCACGCTCAACAGGCCCTCATCGGTGACCTTGCCGGTGCATCCTCTGAGGCCTCGTCTCTTGCCGCCGATCTCGCCAAGCAAGACACCGAGCTCACAGACCTCAAGACCACGCACAGTGCACTCGAGGACTCGTGTTCTCAGCTCGACGAACACGCTGAATCCCTCGAGTCGACTCTGGCCCAACTCGAGGCTGACGAAGTCGGTCTCCGTGCAACTTCCCTCAAGGAGGCCGACGATCACCAGGAGCGGGTGATGGCCCTCGAGGCGGAACACGACGCTGTGGATGCATCTCACGCAGCAGCCGTCGAGAAGCTGTCGAAGGTCAAGGCGGACGCAGACCGAGTTGCTCAAGAGACACTGGCGCTCGTCGGATCCCTCCGCGAGAAGCAAGCGGCGAACAAGGTCCGGTTCGACGAGGCCACTGCCGCCCTCAAGGCGTCCATTGCCAGGGACGACGCCGACATCGCTGAGCGCAAGGCCGCCTGCGTCGCACAAGAACACAGCCTGAAAGTCACGAAGGCGGCGCTCGACACGCGGAACGACGTCTTCAGGCTGCACGCACAGGACTACGAGCGCGACATGGAGGCATCGTGGTCGCTCGGGAAGGAGAGCGGGTACGACCGGCAGCAGTACGAGTCGATGCTTGACGAGGCGTCCAACAAGGCGGCGCGGGCACGGCGGCAGCAGGCCGACGCCGAGGCCAAGGCTGCAGCGGCGCGCCAGCACTCGGACGAGGTCGCGAAGGAGACGGCGGTGACACGACACGCGTTCACGACACAGCTCGGCGACCTCGAGGCGCAGCGGACGGCACTGGGGTCGGCCAACGCGGCGTTTGCGACATCGAGCGAGCAGCTGCGTGCGGACAACTCTGCGCTCGGGGCCAAGCTCGAGCACCTGAAGAAGGCGCACGACGACGAGAAGCGTCCGCTGAGCATCCGGCTGCGATCGGCCGAGGCGGACATGGCGCGGTTCAAGATGACGGAGGCCGAGGCAGTGAACCGACTGGACGTGCAGATCGCGGGACTGGCAACGGAGGAGGAGGGGCTGAATGGGAAGATGGCGGAGTACCAGAGCGAGCTTGGGCGGGTGTATGGGATGACGGAGGGAGTGGAGCGTGCGGTGTCGGAGGCGTCGTTGGCGTTGTCGGTGGAGAAGGGACAGGCGTTGGCACTTTTGAAGCTGATCCGGTATCCGAGCTCGGACCCAGAGTTCATCGCGGCATATTGGACCCCCGAGACACCTTCAGAGGGTGCATCGTCAAGACCGCCAGAGCGCTATGATAGCTGCTCGGCGATCTTCGATGCATCTTTTGAGGAGGCCTTGGAGAGAGACATTGCTGAGTCGAAGACATGCGATGGGCTTGCAAACGCCGGACTAGGACTTGACATGTAGCTGTAGCAGTGCAAATAGAAGTTGTTCTGTTTGAAACTACATGTGTGATACTGGTACAAAACAGCATGGGTGCCAAGCGAAATCAAACAACAGTGGCCTATAAGATGGACATTAGATGTGTGTGTATGAGAAGAACAAAGAATCCTTACGCCATTCGCAAAAATGATTTGTCCATTAATCCACCCGGCCTCCTCTCTCGATATGAAGGCAAAAATAGGAGCAGTTTCTTCAGGGCTAGGGAGGCGGTTAAGTGGGTGAGGGCGAGCTAGAAACTTCAACCCGTTCTCGTCGTTCCCCTGCCGGACCATATCGGTGTCTACAACAACAGCATTGACGGTGATGCCCCTAGCTCCGATGTCCTTGGCAAGCACGCGCGTCATCTGCTCGACCGCCCCTTTGGTGGCGGAGTACACGGCATAGTTGCCAGTGATGCTAGAATTCTTCGTTGCTGCGGAAGAGCACACGACCTCCTGCAAGCGACTTTGTGTGAGTATACGCGCATGCATTCGGCTGGTGGACATGCGTACCAAGCCCTAGGTGCTGAGTTGCGGCCGCCTTTGACCATGAAGAGCGGTGCCTTTACGTT